GAGTCTACGGACAGTTCTTACGGACAGTTAGGGACAGTGCGATTCACGTGATATTACTAAAACCACTAACCCTAACTAACTATTCACGTGATTTGAACTGTCCCTAAGAACTGTCCCCGTAGGTGCATGACTTCTATCACGTGACTGGATTATTTATGCCAATAGGAAAGCATTGGTCTTATACCCTGGTATTGTTCTCAATTTGCATTTTTATTGGTTAAGTTTTATATCCGCAGTGAATTGTGAATTTTTTATTGGAACCCCGTTGGACAGTTTACGGCCAACACTGTATGGAAGAACATCAATCACTATCACCTCTAAGCGAAGAGGAGTCTCCTTGGTCAGAAAGAACGTGGTCTCTTCAAATAGGGGAACCAACTGAGTTGATTAATGTTCAAAAATTCCTGGATTCTTTCAGTTCGGAGCTTGGACACGAAGAAGAGAGTATACGATGTGAGTCTAGATTGTCAGAAAAACTTAGCAAGAAACAACTTAAGGAAATCAGAGAAAAATGCAGGTTGCAATGTATTTCTTGATCTCAATTTGGAAATGATAATATATTCATGGTATTTTAACCATTCCTTTTAGTGTGAAAGAATATTTCAAACTCTCCAGTCAATTCTTTGTTGATCCAACCATGTTTTGTCTCCTTCGTCAATATCACGCACTTGGTGATGAAGTGATAAATGGTGAGAAACGATCAACATCTATATCACTTCCTCCTGAAATGATGAATAAGAGAACAGCTAAAGGCAAAGATAAGGTGACGTCTCATGAGGTAAACATTCTAGGACAATTAATGGACGCATTTTTACCATTTCGTGTTTTGCTAACGCTAACAAATCTTAGGTTCATACTTCGAACATCGTGTCATACCAAAAGTCACATGATCATGATCCAGCCAAAATAAGACCGGAGCCATCAGCAACGGAAATTAAATTTTTGGAAATGGCTAAGGAGTTGGATAGTTCTCCTCTGTCAAGTTTAAGGTTTGTGGGCACCGTTAAGTTTGTCAATTTTACTCGAATATATTTATACGTTTACTTTTTTTCTATAAAGGGATATCAATAGATCCAAAAATTCGCATATGAAGCGTGCGGATTTGAATTATTTGTCTTCCGTAAAAGTATGTTTAATAGTTGTGAGTTTCGTGTTTCTATGTTAACAAGTTATTGACTCTGTTCTGATTTAGTTCTCTAAACCGAACAAGCCAAACGAAACTCAAGACTTTGAAAATAAGCCTGAAGTCATCCTCTCGGTTGCATTTTACAATCAGAGTAAAAATTCCACTCGCACGCAAGAATTTTTGGTTTTGGGAAGTCAGCCATTAACTGCTCTTAGAGATGCATTTTATTGTCTTCGAGATTTTTACAAACTTGAACCATGGGAACAACCAAAACCTACTACTATATTAAATGAAACAAACCAAAAAATGTCTCCAAGTTACTTTTTTATCGAAAATGTATTTTATAACGATTTCAGGGATCCGAGAGCTGTTGATTATAGCAGGTAAAATAATAGCTCTCTATACGGTTCGACTTGTATTCCCTACTATATTTACTATCTCTTCTTCACTCTGTTTATACTTGCAGAAACATCATAGAATGGGTTAAAGAAAAAGATAGATATAGACAACCTGGACTTGGTCTTTACCGTAGCAAGATAATGGAAGATGTGATGTTCAATGAATTATCAATAAAACTAAACCAACCGTATTTGTTTGTACATCAGGGGAATTGTCAACACGCCGTAGTTTTTAGAGACTTGAGGTACTTTAAACTTTTTTCCTAATTTACGTTACATGACATGATATTTAATGCTATATCACAATATCTAGGTTAAAGCAAGCATATGACGATCCAGATCCTGCTGCTTATCCAAAAGCTATATTCAGAGGCAAAATAGGTCGACATAAATGCCGTATGTGCATGCAACGACCTGCTATGTAAGTTTTAAATGATTGATTTGAAGTTCGAGCAGCTCTCTTAGTTAACTATTAACGTCACTATCTTTCTATAAAGCCTTGTGACTGTTAACGATTTTTTATCTGGCGAATCGCCGGCTTACTTTTGTGATCCTTGTTATTACCAATTTCATTATAATGCAAATCAAGATTTATTATACGACAATTTCCAGGTATTTATTTACTTATGCTGGTTTGTTTCTTGTAATTGTATTTTACTAATTCAGTTATCTGAATTAAAAGGTATTCCATTATGCACACGAATAAGCATTTCACGCTGATATTAGAAAAGATAATTCATATAAATCATAATAAAGCAATTTATGGAGAATTGTATGTATTAACAATTTCCAATCATCTGCATGCTATTTTAATTTAAAGTTTAGTCACTTTGTCGAATCTACTTTTTATTAGTAAGCTGTAGGCCATTTTCCTTTGTAATTATGGTGAGGTTGAATTATATACCCGAATTAAATATAATACGGACCATTATCAATACATAAAATATTTTTGCTACTTGCTAGTCATTTGGATATTAAACATGTAATCATCATTAACAACGTTATCTTTTTTAGGAAATAATAAGCCATTTCGGATATAAACATGCTTCAGAACTTCGTGACAGGTATGCACGCATGACGGTTTGTCCTTTTTTCTCTTTCCAGATTTGTTTTCATTGTTTGGTTGCTATATCACGTCATGAAAATATGCGTTCCGAAAATTATTGAATTTGACATGATAATATTGGTGCATGGGTATATCGATTTTTAGAACTCCTGGTATAACATTAAAGGTTTAGAACCCATTTTCTAAAACTAGTTATTTACTTAAATGTTTATCAATCGGCCATTTTTATAGTTGTGTCATCTTTTATGTGACTAGACTTGTCCCAAACATTTTGATAAAGATCTGGTCCAATGAATGATATACAGCGAATATCTGGATATATGATATGTCATTTCACCGAATGAACAATGACGAAAATAATTTAAATACATAGTGGTGTTTCAAGTCGATATTGCATTAGTCAATTTAACCAGCTTAGCCGGCTAAATTAGCTGATTCATTAAAATTTCGGCTTAGTCAACTGTATAAATACATAATGCATAGTGTGCCCAAATCCCCAAAATCTGACTAAAGTAATGTTACAAACTGGTCCCATTCAATGTAGATGATTATTTCCTATTAATACATTATTTTATTTAGCATAGATGACTTTGCTTTCTAATAAATTGATTAATAAATATACAATCATTTATATTAGAAGAGATTTTCAAAAACTTATAAATAATTTTTAAATAAATAAAAAATATATATATTTGGAAATTGATTTTACATTCATGTTGACTTTTATCATACTTTGTATAATATAATGGTATTGATATATTAGTATATTGAATATTATTTCTATTTCAAATCTTTAAAAGATAATTGCTAATTATAAAAAATTAAACAAATAATTCTAAAATTTTATAAATATATTCTTTATAGCTATAAGAATATATTTTTATTATTATTATTATTATTATTATTATTATTATTATTATTAAGATGACCTCTTTGGTCTTTTGACTTTTATTAATTGCTTATTGGTATTGTGGTTCAATGAACTACTACAGAAGAGTGTACAATTGGTTACATATATAACTTTTCTATATTACCTATTTAAGAAGTCTGCCTGAAGGTTTCCTACTAATTGCTATATCTAACACTTTTGCTTGGGTATTTCAATTTAAACTCTCTGAACCTGTAACTTGTGTTAACTCACTGAGTTATACCCAGATGTCCAGATCATTATCTCAATCTTAGGACTAATTTATCCTTGAAGTAAACTTCTCAGAGCTTTTTGTATCTATTTTTACAGCTAATTTAGATATTATTATAACAGAACCAACACTTGTGATCAGGGTTTAACCATTAAACCACTGTATTCTTATAGAGTTTACTTAAATTCCAATATTTACTTTACAGTATAACCTTAGTAGTTTAGTATACCTTTGCTTTTTCTCTTGCCTTTTTACCAAACTCCTAATTCAGATAGTCTGTATAAGGCTACGATCAGTCCATCAATATATCAGATTGGTCTAATATCCTTTTTCTTTGATTTATTCTAGTAGCCTAGTTAGTAGTATTTCTGAAACTCTCAATTCAGAGATTCTTAATCATCTGATTATTACAACCAGATACTAGATCTTGATATCTATTTCACCAGTCTAATCTTTACAATAAGGCTATTAAAGATCCAACTACCTCTCTACTCAAGTCTTCTCAAATGAACTTCTTGTTACCTAATTTCAACAAATTTACATGGTTACAAGAACTTATCTAGTATTTGTACTGCTCAATTTGTTGATTTGCATTTTTCTGTATAACTTCAATATTGCACAGATGTCTTATGACTTGTTAGTCATGCTGATGCAACCACTACTACAGATATCCTAATCTAATTGTTAGTAACAATTGTTGTAATACAAATATTATATAAATGATTATTCAAATTTTCATTATCAATAGGATTTGAACATCCAATTTACCACTTGAAGGGTTAACAATCTGACTACTTTACTAGGTCATCATATTCTTATAAGAATATACTTGATTTATTTAAACAATGATTATTAATAAAATTTTTGAATTATGAATTTGGCCAGTTTATTTGAGTTTGTATACTTTAAATAAACTAAAAATAGATAATCCCAAAAGGTTTAACTAAATTTATAATTTAAAAATTTTATTAAAATCATTTATTTAAATAAATCAAATATATTCTTATAGTTATAAAGAATATATTTATAAATTTTAAAATTATTTGTTTGATTTAATTTTTTATAATTAACAATTATTTTTTAAAGATTTGAAATTTGTTTAAATTTGACTAGCATGTATACTTGTAATTTTTTGACTTCAGATATAGTATTTTAATGAATATATTCAAGCTATTACTATAGCAAATTTTCTTAAATAGAATATAAATGATAAGAATATTAAATTGTAAATCTAATTCTACTTTATTTAACAGTATTAATAATTGTTTGTTACTATGTTTCAAACATAATTTTTATATATTATATAATATAAAAGTTATTTTGATGTATTAGTATAATTATTTTAATCAAATATATTAATATTATAATTTAGAAATTTTTTGTTGGATGTAGTGACTTAGTGAAGTGAATAAGTTGTCAACCCTCCAAGTAGTAGATTATAAGTTCAAAACCTATAGATGGCAAAAATTTGGATAATTACCTATATAATATTTATATTACAACAACTGTTCTTAATGATTAGATTAAGATATCTGTAATTATAGTTATACTAGCATGATTAGCAAGTCATGAGACATTTGTGTAACTGGTTACACAAAGAAATGCAAACTAGCATCAGATAATGCAAACTCAAAATAAGTTCTTATAACTGAATAAATCTGTAAAAATTAAAAAATAAGAAGCTTATTTGAGAAGACCTAAATAAAGAAGTAACAGATCTTTAACAATACTATTATAAAGGCTAAATCTAGAAAACAGATACCAATGTGGAGTACCTGAACAGGCAAAAACCTTTGGATAGAGAGTATTGTAATAGAATTTATTTTTTTTTCCTATATTAGTATATATTTATTTTTAGCTCTATATTATATTTTATAATTT